CTCGAATACTCAGGGCATTCAGTGCCATTGCATACACCTTAAAGACAGAGGTATCTCTAACCTCCCAAATGCAAGGACTGCAGGGAAATAACAACCAGGAATGCTTCTAAGAGAAAGAGAAGGCAGTGTTGGGGCAGGGGCCATCACAATTAAAATGTTGTTGACTAATGATTTGAATTTTGGAGCTTGTTTAGCTCCAAAGTCTGTTCATTCAAGCTGTTTCATTAATCTCTTGTTGTGAGACAGGAACAACTGTAGATGCTAGACATAAGGTCCTGCCTTCCCACCTGCTTCTGGCTCTGCTACCTCTTGATGCCAATGCCCTCCATATTTGTGAGGTTTTAGAGGTGGGCAAATGTTGTTCTGACCAGCTTTTAAGGTAATGTGTTGCTAGCTTCCAGGTCAGCAATTCAAAGCCACCAACTGCTCTGTGAGAGATGTTGCTTTCTACTCCCATGACTTACAGTCTCAGAAACACACAAGGGCAGTTCTACTCTGTCCTATAGGGTCTCTATGCCATCTACTTGATGGCAGTTAAGCACTCCATCACTCCAGGCTGGAAATTTAGCCTTCTCATCTACAAAATCAGAAATTGCAATGCCTCTGAGGACAAAAGGAAAAAGGAAATGCAGGGACACAAGGAAACTTAAAGCAGCATAAAGTGGGCACATAGTAAGTCAACGTTCATTTCATCAACTGGTGCTGTAACCTGGATTTTCATATGGTGCATACTGATCTCTGTCAGTGGCTTTGTAGAGAAATGGTATGAGCACTGCTCCAAAGATTCATTTGATCTTTCTACCAGGTTACATTTTCTTACAATGCAAACCTTCACCAACTTGATTTAAGTGGGCTCATCCTTATTAAATAACCTAAACCAAAAGGTAGTGAGATCCACTGCATCTTTGAAGAGAACCAATCCATCCTGAATCAGCAGAGGAAAAGGGCCAGCGTATATCAAATACCATCAAACTAAAGAGTGCTGGGAAGCATTTCAAGGAAGCATGAAATTTCCAGAAGTCACTACGTGAGAAGCAAGCTTTGAGAGTAAGGGGTAGACAAACATTGATGAGGAGGAATGCCTGCTGATTCTGGAGCTCAAAGACCTTAAGAAGCAGTACTGCAGCAAGGACCAGGAACTGCAATACCTCAGGGCTGAGATCCAGTACTGCCAGCTCTGGGTGGATCTGTATTGCCACCACCTGCTCCCATAATTTGACATCTGTTACAATGAATCCTTTGTCATCCTGAGAACATTCAGGTGGCACTGAAGCAGTGCTTGACTGGGCATGGACCAGGCACGGTGCTCATCAGCAGGGTCATGTTTCTGGGAGATGGCCAGGACAGATTCTGCCAGTTGCAGCAGACATGCTGCCCAAGGTCTCTGGTTCCATATCCCCCTACCATGCTGTCAAGAAGGAGCAGAAGCACAATTATTTGAAAAGCACAACGGGCTCCACTCAGCACATAGGACACAGGGTCAAGACACACAGCAAGCCCAACCTACTGTAGTGGAATGGCAGAATCATCTGCTCAGAACTCCAGACACCTGTCCAAGGCCAGAACCTGGTTGAGAGAATTCACACCAACCTACTGCCAGGGCCATCCTCCAATGAACAATTCCTCTGCTTACCTTGACAGAACACTGTTGTTTTCCATGCTCTACCTTATATGCAGGGACAGGATAAAACAACATTTTAGTTTGGATTTCTAGTGCTCATCTAAAGGCTTTGTTTTCTCTCCCACCTAGAAGGACATCTTCTCTATGTTCACTTGGGGTCAGAACTGAGTTGAAGAAGAAAACTAAAAAGTGGGCCCATCAGGATCCTGTAGCGGGGGAGAGGGAGAAAAGGTTGAAGTGGTCAAGGATTTTGTCTTGTTTTGATCTACAATCCAGCAGCAGTCAAGAGATCAAAAGACACATTAGGTAAATCTGCTGCACAAGAGCTCTTTAGAGTATTGAAAAGCAAGGATGTTGCTTTAAGGACTGTGGTAGTTAAATAATTATCAATTTGAGAGGATTAAGGGCAGAGGGGTAGAGTATAGTCTGTCAATCAGGTCATAGCCAATGAGATTTCTGTGTGGGCATGACCTTCTCCTGAGGATTCTGGGAACTGCCTGTATTCCTCCTTGGAGATGGGAGACTCTGTCTCTTTCTCTCTCTACTCACCCTCTGAGAGATACTGCAGCTGACAAGCCACATAGAGACCCCTGCCAGTGCTGAGATACTTACACCACCAATGGATCTACAAGACTTTCCACCCAATGGCCTGTGATCACCTTGCATTCAGCATCATTGCATGTGTTTTGTGAGTCTGAAGAGGACTTTATAGATTATCCAACATATGGGCTAATATCAGACTTATGGACTTAATCTGGATTGGGCTGGAATTTTTTCTCAATATTCAATTGCTTTTGTATATAAAACTCTTTCTTATACATGAGTCTCCCTGGATTTGTTTCTCTGGTCTACCAGGACTAACACAAAGACCCAAGTCATGATATTTTAAATTGCTTCATATCCATGTAAAAGCTAGACATTGAATAAGGAAGAATGAAGAAGAAATGATTGATTTGAATTGTGGTGCTGGAGAAGAATACTGAAAATACCATCAACTGCTAAAAGGACAGGCTGATCTGTTATGGAACAAGAACAGTCAGAATACTCCTTAGGGGCAAGGATGGCAAGACTAGCTTACATACTTTGGACATATTATCATGAAAGACCAATCCCCACAGAAGGATTGGAAGGGCAGTGCAAAAAGAGGAAGGCCTTCAAGGAGATGCATTCACACAGTGGCTGCAACAGTGGGCTCAAGCATAGGTGCAATTATAAGGTGGCGCAGGGCCAGGCAGTGTTTAGTTCCGTTGTGCATAGGTTTGCTATGGGTTGGAACTGACTCAATGGCACCTAACAACCAGCTTCGAAATTTGTCCTAAAATCTGAGAAAAAGTGATCTTTTGGGGATGCAAGCAAAATTTGCTTCAAGAGTTCCCTCATCTTTGCAAGGAGTTATTTCACCAAAGCATTGGTAGGTGGAGCCATGAATCTTGCATCTTAAGAAACCAATGTCTTTTACACTAAATGATTCTGTACTGATCAGCTCATGCTCCGGTCGGTTTGTCTGGAAGCTTGAGCTCAGACCTACACCACCAACCAAGGTTAGAGCCAGTGCAAGAGCCAGAACTAAGGTGCTGCCTGGGGAATTCCATCCACTGACAAATTGCAGGAGATAGTAAACGGTCCTCTGGTACACTTTGGTCAATTCCCAGCCTTACCCACACCCTCCTTTCACGTTTAGGTTGTTTCCCACTTTACTAGAGTTTGCTAATATTGGCTTTCCCAATCTAGCATGTCAAGGTCCTTAAACAATATTAGAGACTTAGCCAGCTCTGCTAATTACTTGGGCAAGTGAACTCAATAAAGTTTCTGCGGACTTCACCTTCGAGGATGATGTACAAGAGAGCTTCAAAAGGTTAATGGAAAGTCTCATGTGTTTATTTTAATTGCATTTTACATGAACTTTTTGGAGTCCACTCGTATATATTCCCGGTATCCTTCAGCCATGTTGGTGCCTGCATGCTAAGGCTGTTTGAGAACTTTTGTAGGATTCCTGGCGACTGCTCCAGATGGGAAGTGCTACAGTCCAGCTGAAGGTGAGTGGAGGTGGGGGTGGGGTGGGGGGCTGAGGCTTTCCGGAAGGACTTGCCCTTCAGCCCAACCCTCCAGGTCCTATGTGGCTCAGGGGCAAGACAGATCAGGGACCCTGGCTGCCGGTTTGGGACCCAGAAGGCTTCAACCAATCAAGCAAATCTCAACTCCTCACTACAGCCACGGAGCCCATTCCGACTCATACTCTGACCCTACAGGACAAAGCAGAACCGCCTTGTGAGCCCTCGAAGCTGTAAATCTTTTTTTTTTAAATCGTTTTATTAGGGGCTCATACAACTCTTATCACAAGCCATACATACATCAATTGTGTAAAGCACATTTGTACATTCATTGCCCTGATCATTCTCAAAACATTTCCTCTCCACTTAAGCCCCTGGTATCAGGTCCTCTTTTATTCCCCTTCCTCCCTGCTCCCCCCTCCCTCATAAGCCCTTGATAATTTATAAATTATTATTTTGTCATATCTTGCCCTGTCCGACGTCTCCCTTCACGCACTTTTCTGTTGTCCGTCCCCCAGGGAGGAGGTCACATGTAGATCCTTGTAATTGGTTCCCGCTTTCCAACCCACCCTCCCTCTATCCTCCCAGTATCGCCATTCACACCCCTGGTCCTGAAGGGATCATCTGTCCTGGAGTCCCTGTGTCCAGTTCCTATCTGTACCAGTGTACACCCTCTGGGGGGAGGGGGAAGCATTTAGGAACTAGAGGAAAGTTGTATTTCTCATCTTTGTTACATCGCACCCTGACGGGATCGTCTCCTCCCGAGACCCCTCTGCAAGGGGATCTCCAGTGGCCTACTAGCGGGCTTTGGGTCTCCACTCCGCACTCCCCGCCTCATTCACTATGGTAAGATTTTTTGTTTTGATGATGCCTGATACCTGAAAGCCTCATCTTTCTCCAGAGTGGCTGGTGGTTTTAAACCGATGACCCACTCCACCACCAAACTCCCAAACCAAATTCACTGCCAATGAGTCCATTCCGACGCGTAGAGACCCTTTAGGACAGTACAGAACTTCCCTGGCGGGCTGCGGATCCGAAATCTGCATCCTGTGATCTGGTTGGACCAATAAAACTAGAGCGCCGATTTGCTGGAGCATGCTGGCCACGCCCCTCTCCCGGAAATCATCGCCCCCTGGGCGGAGCTACCCTCGGCTTCTTCCTGTTATTGGCTAGCTCAGCTTCCGGTTACGTGCGGGCCAGCGCGGTTACAGGAGGGTCCTGCGCGACAGCTGGGAGATTGGAGGCCCTCGCGCGGGAATCTGCACGGGGGACCGCGGAGGCGTCCCGGGCCTCTAGGTACCGCCGCCGCCATCCCCGCCTCCGCCGCTGCCTCTTCCGCCGCGTGCGGTTGCGTGGGGCGCCGGCGAGCCGCCTGATGCCCCCCCGCTCGGGAGAACGCGGAGAAAACGACCACTTCCCGCCCTTCACTCCCTCAGGTGAGTTTGGCCGAGGGCCGCAGCTTGGGCAGGCCCACCTGTGACCTTCAGGGACGGGGCTGCTCTTTGGACCCACGATCTTCTCCGCTTCCACTTCCACCCGCCACCCCCACCTAAGCTCACCCGGGTCGCCGACCCCGGTCCCACTGGGAGGCATTCCTGGCCCCCATTGCCAGGAGTAACCACGGGGTTTGTCCATTTTTCACGAATGGCAACGTTAGGATTTTGCGTGTATTTTAAAACAAATTCTCAGTAACTTTGCATTGCGATGAGGACAGAAAAGTCCAGACCTGTGAAACAGGTTCCCTGTTAAAGACTCCAAAGCACGTGATGCTGTGGATCATTGAGAAAATGAGGCAATCTTCACTTTTTACCGCCATTTGATTCTTCTGGTTACATGACCATTGGCATTGATAAGATAACCAATAGTAGTAAATCCTTTATTAGGGGAGGAGAACTGATTGTGAACAGGAGGGACGAAGAAGCGCTAATTGAAGAGAAGGTTTGGAGAGGGAATTAAGACTAGGAAAGAGCGTGAGGCGTCAGGATGAGGAAGAGTGTGGATGTCAGAATGATGGGGAAGTCCAGAAAAAGAAATGTGAGTTTCCAGAAGGGAATTCTCAAACCAGCAGTCCTAGAGTTAAGCTCCAGCGGACAAGTTCAACATGAGTTCAAACATGCAAGAAACTTTAAGCAAGTAAAAGCAGCAGTCTTGAAAAAATTTCAAGGCCCACATATCTTTGTATAAATGGTTAATTAGGCATATCCTTTCAGTTGTGGCCTTGATCCAGACCTAACTTTAGTGTCTCCCCCAATATCCAAGATTCACAGCATTGAGTTGACTTAACTCATTAGCAACTCTGTAGGCCAGAATAACAGCAGTGGCTTCTTAACCTCTCTATCACTTCCCCCAGGGCTCCTTTCACTCACTATGTTGATACTTAAACATCAGTGAGTTCTTTGAGTTGGATACTATTAAGGGTGGGTTTATAAACATTACCACATTTAACTTACTGGTCTGTGGAGGGAGTGGAAAGACTAGCATCTGTGACTGACCCAAGACAATATGTCTAGCGCACCACCACCCTTCCATGCATGCCTTCCGCCAACTTTCTCAGCCCTGAATTCTCCAAACCTGGCAGGGCCTCATTCCCAACCCGATGATGACTGTTTAATTTATTTCATAAGCTGATAGCCTAGAGTAAACCCTGTTAGTGCAGTAGTCAAGTGCTTGACTGGTCAACAGGTTGTTCAACTCAAACCCACCAGCTACTTCAGGGGGGAAAGAGGTGGAGATCTGCTTCTATAAAGATTTACAGTCGTGGGAACTCAATGGGGCAGTTCTACCTGCCCTGTTGGTTGACTGTGAGTCAGAATCATTCAACAGGAAGCTGATATTTTTAAATTAATAATAATGAGCTCCTACCAGAAGATCTTAAAATGCAAAAAATTATTTGACCTTCATTTTAAAATCTGACACATTTAATATTTAGCAATTTTGTCCACTTTTGGTATTTTGGATTTTTTCCCTATGTTCATGCTCACTTTAGTGAGATATTTTAATTATGTATATAAGAACAGGGCTGTAACAAACAGCTGTATCCATACCCTTAGAAATTTTTTTTTTTTAAGGAAATGTGTTTTATATATAATCGAAATCGTTGTATGTAAGATTTCTTTTGAAGAACATCTAACTTATCTTTTAGTTCTGGCTCTATAGGGTATTAGTGATCACATAAGTTATATGTCCTAACTTTTAATTCCCAGTTAGCTTCAGGGTCTGCTTCTCACAGGGTAGCATGAGTTGTATAACCACCATTGTGATCCTGTTCTATCCTTGTAGCATTTGGTCTCTTACTCTTTTAAGAAACCTGCCTTCTGTTCCCCAACCTAGACTCCCACCAGCTGACAAGCACATGGCTGGACTGATTCGCTGAACTTGATTGACATTGGCCCTTGTTCCTCCGTTTTTCCCTAGAGTAGATGATTTCACATTACAGTATGGCACAGTGGTGAGATTCCCATTTAGAAATTAGTAAACTTTGTAAGACTAGGCAGTGCTGGAATTTGGACCCTAGGTCCATCTTCTCCGACCTTGATGTTTCCTGGCACGCAGCAGTGGGGTGGGAGTGTGGTTATTCCATATCAGGGACTAACAGATATCGGCACTCACTTGAATTCTCTTCATTCCACTTGTACTACAGTTCCTGGCTCCCTGAGGTGGAGGAAACGCCCTGGCAGAGGTCTTCTCCAGCAGAATCAGAGATGTCATCAGTAGATTTCAAAACCTACGTGGATCAGGCATGCCGAGCCGCAGAGGAGTTTGTTAATATCTACTACACCACCATGGATAAGCGGAGGCGTCTGCTGTCCCGCCTGTACATGGGAACAGCTACCCTGGTGTGGAATGGAAATGCTGTTTCAGGACAAGAATCCTTAAGTGAGTTTTTTGAAATGTTGCCTTCCAGTGAGTTCCAAATCAACGTGATAGACTGTCAACCTGTTCATGATGAAGCCACACCAAGCCAGACCACAGTCCTGGTTGTTATCTGTGGGACGGTGAAGTTCGAAGGCAACAAACAACGGGACTTCAATCAGAACTTCATTCTGACAGCCCAGGCCTCCCCAAGCAACACTGTGTGGAAGATTGCAAGTGACTGCTTCCGGTTCCAAGACTGGGCCAGCTAATGGGGAGGGAAGGCCTCTTCACTTACCCCCAAGACTGGGGGGCACAAATTTTGAGATGTGGGGACACATAGTTGTTTCTGCTGTTCCACAAACAGTCTTGGACTTTGTACCAAGAGGACACTTCCACATTTGCTCCAAGCCTAGAAGCCCCTTTTCTAAGTATGCACTTGTTTGCGATAGTTGCCTTTTAATAGTATCAAACTTTTCTATCTTTTTTACTTGCCATGTAGAAATTTGGTTCTGGAAATTAAAAAAAAAAACAACACAAAACAAGACAAGTAATGCTGCTTTTCCTTTGCCTGATGCGTTTGACTAGGCTTTGAGGAAATGAAGCTTTAAAGACAGGAATCAGAAAGTACCTGCAGAGGCGTTATGTCCGGGGCTGAGCACCTATCTATCACAGGTACACACAGATGACCCAGAGCAGTGTATCACAGTGTTCTGTGCATTAGAAACCGTGGGGCACTTTGGGAAATACCTGTACTTGGGCCACCCCGGGACGATGTGCACCTGAAGATAAGGAAGGCATTAACATGCTTCAGAAGCACCCTAGGTGTCTTAATATGTAACTTTTTTTTTAAGTTGCTGTCAAGTTCATTCCAGTTCATGGTGACTCTCCCTGTGCCAGGTAGAGTACTTGGTAAGGTATTAAGGAACAGATCAGTAGACCTTCCAAGATACCTCTGGAGGCATTACAACTACAAAACTTGCAGTTGGTGGTTGAACACTTAACCATTTGTGCCTTGCAGGCACTGCTTAATTTATATTAGGGTGCATTAGGATCACCCAGCATGGCTGAGATTGAAATGATGAGATCAGTTAAAATACTAAAGAGTTAATTTTTTAAAAAAGCTTTGTAAAAAAAGCAGTTCTATTACCTACTCTTGAAAGAAAAAGCTGCTTTTAAACTAAAGAAGCACTGAGGTTGGGGTGGGTGGCCACCTGAAAATAAACGATAAAAACAAAACTGGCATCTGAGGTGGAGGTCAAATATACTTTCATTCTCAACTTCATTTCCCCCATTATTGGGGTTAATTTGCAGAAGTCACAGAGAACTTAAGGAAATGTCACATCTCTAATAGCTTCAATAGATGGCTATAAATAAACAGGGTGAAGTTTGGGGAAAGCCCTTCTAGTAGTTCAACTAGGAACTATTCATGACGTCAGTCTATGGGCTGTAGGCTGCTTCTCAACTGGCTCCAGGCTCTCTTGTCTGTTCCAGGCTGTACATTGCTGCCACCATCTGGGTCATTACCATAGGACCCCAGTGTCAAGAGGACTTGTTCCCCTTCAGGCATTTGTAGATCAAGAACCCCTAACCAGCCCCCTCAGCTTCTAGGGTTTTTCTTAGCTATCATGCAGGGCCCCAATCAGAGCAAATGTCAACTACCAGGTGAAGGGGTGTGGAGTCCAGCCAATCTGTGTAAAGGTCAACTATGGTGTGTGGGGCCTTAGCCAATGCAGGTGAAGGTCAGTCAGTTCTTAGGGTAGAGCTCCCCAGTCCAGATAATTTTCAGATCAAAGGGGCTTAGAAACCAGGAGCAAGTTGTTTTTTTTTTTTGGTAAGGTGAGTCCACAAGCTGCAACAGCGTGAAAGACTCCTTTTAAGGAATGCTGGTGATGTAATGGGTTATGTGTTGGGTTGCTAACTGCAAGGTCATTCCAAATCTACCAATCATTTCATGGGAGAAACATGAGATTTACAGCCTCAGAAACCCAAAGGGGTAGATCTCTGTCCTATGGGTCTATATGAGTCAGAATTAACTTGATGGTTGAGTTTGGTATATTTTTGCCCTGGTGAATCATTAAGTGCTAACCAAAAGATTGGAGGTTGAGAAGCACAAGGATCTTGATGTGTGCTCACTCCAACATGGACACCCAATTAAAACAAAAAGCAAGTTCATTGCTGTCGAGTCAGTGCTCGCTGATTGCGACCCTATGGGACAGGGTAGAACTTCCCCTGTGAGGTTCCAAGTCTAACTATTTATAGAAGTAAAAAGTCTTGTCTTTCTCCCTCGGAGTCTGGTGGTTTCAAACTGCAGACCTTGTAGATCACAGTCCAACACAACCACTTTGCCACCAGGGCTCCTAACCAGACATCCTAATATCCCTCACCGTTGTTAATTAATGAAGGCCAACATTTAAAAGGACAAACTACTTGGGTTAGGCTGGATTCTGTAGAGGAGCAAAACCAGCGATGGTGTGTCTGAACATTACTGCAACTGTTCATGATAGCAATCTATATGCTCCTCTCATCTGGTTGGGCTCTCAACTGGGATCCAGGCTTTTACTGCTGCCATCATATGAGTCAGGGAGGTTCATTAACACATGGCCCCAGTGTCCAAAGAACTTGTTCCCTTCCTGTCGCTAACAGGTCAGGTATTCTAAGGTTTTTATCAGATACCAGGCAGGGCCTCAAAGAACCAGTGCATATGTTAACTTTGCAAGTGTGGAGTTCAGGAGTCTTAAGATAGGCCAAGCCCCTGAGGGGAAAGAAAAAATCATTGTCTTAGGGCTGTGACCTGAGCGAGGCAAAGCTTTCCACAAATGCTTAGATGCTCACAAAATACCATCACGGAGTTGTTGATTGTATTAGATCACAACATGGGGAGGCCTCAGTGCCTTACTACTGAGAATTTGGGCCCAGCCAAGTTGGCACAAAACCAAACCACTCAAAAGATTTCATGTCCCAGCTTAACTGATAAGCTAGGTTTGAATCTTAGCCCGTGAAAAACAAGGATAGTGTGTAAGTGTGGATTTTCCTTCTGTGAACCTTTCTGCCCTCCTGCTGCCAGGAATGTGGTTGTGATGGCTAGACCACTGGTTCAAATTCAGTCATGGGCCATGAGGCCAGCTTGTCTAGACCCTAAGATGGTAGCTGAACTGAACCTGGGTAGAACCAGAAAAATTGAGCTCCATCAGTCTACGCCTAGACTTGTTTTTTAATGAGAAAAAAACCTTCTTTAAGCTACAGTTGTTTGGGGGTGGTAGAGCCTAATCTTACCCGACTGCCTCCAGTCCGCTCTGATTCATCACAAAAAACTCACTGCCATCAAATGGATGCCATCTCCCCGTGACCCTACAGGAGATGGTAAAACTGCCTCAGTTTCTGAGACTAGCTTTATACAGGAGTAGAAAGTCTTCATTTTCTCCCATGGACTAGCTGGTGGTTGTGAACGACTGACCTTGTGGTTAGCTGCCCAATGCGTAACCACCACACCATTTGATTCATGCTGACCTTATATAGGATTTCAGAGATTAAGCCAG